GCTAGAAAGGCACTGCTAAGGTTTTTGTGCCTCTCCACTTAGGAATCAATAATACAAGAAATGATTTAATTAATAGTAATTTATTAATACCCGAGAGGTTGTTTGGAAACAGAGATGCAAAAGTACCATTAATAATATATGATGGTACCTATATATACCTTCAAAAATCATCCAACTACATGTTCCAAAAAACTTATAGCTTGCACAAATACAGAAACCTTGTTAAACCTTGTTAAACCTTTTCCCATTGTTGCCACTGATGGTTATATTGTTGATATTTTAGGGCCCTATCCAGCAACTAATTCAGAAGCTGACATCATAAAAGCTTTGTTCTAAAATGAAAACGAAGATCTAAGGGCTTTTTTCAGCCCAATGACGTTTTTATTTTGGATCGAGGCTTTCGTGGTTCAATTCCAATGCTAGATAAGTTGGGCTTCATAGTGATTAAACCGGAGTCCTTAGAACAAGGGGAAACTAAGCTATCAACCATCAACGGAAACAAGACAGGGTGTGTGACACTATGCAGATGAGTGGTTGAGGTAATTAATGGTCGATTTAAAAGAGACTAAGCTACTGAGATATAAATATTTTAATTTGGTTTCCACCCATTTGATTGACGATGTTCGTATTTATGCAGCTATAATTAATGCTTTCCATCCAGTAATTGAAAATAGAGCAGATGCTGATGCTTTACTTACTCAAGCAATACAGATAATAAATATGCCCAACCGGTTAGCAGAACTTATAATTTCTAACCAGATCAACCGCTTTAGAGCCCAAGTCACAAGAATTGATGGTCAACTTCCAGTATTAAGTATTTTCCCTGAAATAACTACGTCTGAATTGATACTTTCTTGGTTGGGTACCTATGAAATAAAATAGGTTAGAAGCTTTTTGCGTAACATAGTAGGCAGTATGGATCATTTCAGGTAGAAGAATCGGATCAACTGGAAGTAGTAGCAGAAGTAAATCCATCCCAACTTGATCCTCTTTTAATCAAAGGCCGTATAAAATCTCGACATAGCTCAGGACGAACATATTATACCTATATATTGCTGGCAAGGGAAGGATCAGGTTGCGATGATAAAATAATTAGCTATTATTGTAATTGCGTCTCCGAACATTGGAAAATGGCTTGCTGTACTCATATCATGACTATTGTGTGGTATTTATGTTGGGCTCAGTACCAAGAGGGCATAGAAGCACCGATGCCATTCCTGGATAGAATTATAATAAGGGATGATGTGGAAAATGAATAAAATCATAAGTATTAACGAGTTGTTTCATTTATATACCTCTCATGACCGATTTTTCATCTTCTCAATGTCGCTAATACTAGGAATTACATAACACATAACTTGTTTGAATAATTATTAGTGTTTAGTTGGGCACTGAGCCTGCATGGTGGTACAGTCCACTCCTTTACAGAAAGGAGGTATTTGTCTCAGCAGTGGGAGCATTATACGTTGAATATTCTACTGCTATGTAATTGAACTAAAATAGTTAATTTCTTCTCAGCTGTTACTATGTAACATATTGTTACGCGCTAAAATCGGCGCACTAGCGCCATCTAGTCTCGAACCAAAGAACTAAACTTCTTGAAGTTTAAAACTCGAATTCTCGGTACCTTGCGCGTGTTTACTTGAACATTCTGGATATTTTGCTAATTTATATAAGTAGGCGCTGCAAGATGCGATGGGGAGCAGTGTTGATTTGGCGAAACAAGCGAAGCTTCGGAGCGGAATTAAGTGAATTAGTGTGTTTAATTATTAGTGTTTTTAACTTTAATTTGTGTAAAGTAAATTAAAGTGTTAATTTAGGTAATTTTATCGGCAATTTTTATTGTCACGAACCTCAAGCTCGTAACAATTGGTGTCAGAAGTGGGATAAAATAATGCCGATTTTACCTAAGGAGGAAACGGAGGGTGTCCGTACCCGCAGTCAACGCCAGCATGAGACGGACCAGAGGAGATTTGGTGGTGCAACGCTGCAGACGTCGGAGGGTCAACTGCCAGCCACGGAGGCTGCGGGCCCGTCAGTAGCTCCTACGCCTGCAGCACCTGACTTAGGTGCTCTGATGGCGATGTTACAGGAGCAGCTGCAGCGCGGACGAGAGGAACAGGCCCGTCTGTTGAAAGAGCAGCAGGAGGAACAGGCTCGCCGACAGGAGGAACAGGCTCGACGACAGGAGGAACAGGTCCGTCGGTTGGAAGAGCAGCTGCGGGGCGGCCAGGAAGAACAGATGCTTCTCATGAAGGACCTTCACGCTACCTTCGGGAAAGAGATAAGGGAGGTGAAGGATAAGGTTGCTCAACATGATAACCGCCTGTCGGAAGCTGAGACCCAAATCAACCAAGTTAAGAAAACGCTGGATGAACTCAAACTTGGGGATGGAACCACAGCTCCCGTAGTAGCTTCAGCACCTTCACTACGTGGGTTCAAGGTGCCACCGTTTGACGGGACTTCTTCCTGGTCAGCCTACAAAATCCAGTTCGAGGCTGTTATGAAGGCGAACGGCTGGAATAAAAGTCAGGCCATGACTGCTCTCACCATCGCTAGGCCTGCGCGACCAGGCCTTAACAGTTCTGGAAGCTCTCGGTGAGGAAGTGACTTATGAGCAACTCCTTGAGGCATTGGAGGCGAGATATGGTGACGCTCACCTGGAACACGTCTTTCGTGTGCAGCGCATCAACGAAAACCTGCAGCAGTGGGCTCTAGAGGTGGAGAAGCTGGTGCGAAAAGCATACCGGTCTGTACCTGCGCTCATTGAAGGGAACCTGGTGCAGACATTCATCGACGGCATCCGTGACCTGGAAGTCAGAGCTGCTGTGAGGCTCGGGCACCACGAGACGCTTAAGGACGCCTTGGCCCATGCACTGGAGGTAGAAGCCGTGCGGCAGGATCATCGTTCCCATCGCGTCAGGGAGGTTGAAGCAGTTACAGTTCGCGATCGCAACAGAGGATACAGCCCTAGGTGCTATGGCTGTGGGGAAAAGGGCCATCTTCGAATCAGCTGCCCTAAGCGAACCGTGGAAAGGAGAGTTGATCGATCTCGAGAGGGTAGTGCAGCTAACGACACTGCCTGGCGGCGACAGTATCATGGTTCACCTCACGCTAGGGAGGTTACAGCAGTTACGGTTCGCGACCACAATAAAAGATACAGCCCTAGGTGCTATGGCCGTGGGGAATGGGGCCATCATCGGTCCAGCTGCCCTGAGCACACCCTAGGAAGGGAAGGTGAACGGTCTCAGAAAGGAAGTGCGGCTAACAGCACCGCCCAGCAGCAGCAGGAATACGACTTTACTATCAGACACTGCAGCGGGAAATCTCACGGCAACGCAGATGCATTGACAAGAAGACCTTGTCCTGAAGATTGCAACCATTGTAGTAGGCAAGAGAGTAAGGAAGTGGTATCCGTGAGGATGCTCAGGACAGACCACCTCAGCAACGGGTGGAAGGACAGCCTACGACATGCACAGCAGGAAGATCGGGACATCAAGCCGATTCTGGGATGGATGAAGGCCCGTGCTACCAAGCCTAAGTGGAGGGACGCCTCAGCGATGAGTTCAACCACGAAAAGCTATTGGGCCCAATGGGATAGCTTGCTGATTCAGGATGGAGTCCTGTGCCGTAAATGGGACAATGGTCGAAGAGACAGCTGTCGTTTGCAAATGGTTGTCCCTAAAGCTAAAGTGCCGAATGTTCTACAGCTGTGCCATAACGGTCGTTCAAGAGTCCATCTGGGAGTTAAACGAACTCTACTGAAGGTCCGAGAACAGTTTTACTGGGTCCATTATCGTGACGATGTCGTGGATTGGTGTCGTACATGTACAAGTTGTGCGGCCGTGCGGGGACCTCAGACACGTAGTAGAGGAGCACCGAAATTGTACAATGTTGGTGCACCACGGGATAGGACAGCCCTTGACATTGCGGAGCCGTTACAGAAAGGCGCAAGAGGGACTCCTAAGATCGTCCATGTGGATCGCTTGGCGCGTTATTATGGGACCAATAATGCTCGGGACGAGCATGTCTTAGGAGGGGGCAGTGTTACGCGCTAAAATCGGCGCACTAGCGCCATCTAGTCTCGAACCAAAGAACTAAACTTCTTGAAGTTTAAAACTCGAATTCTCGGTACCTTGCGCGTGTTTACTTGAACATTTTGGATATTTTGCTAATTTATATAAGTAGGCGCTGCAAGATGCGATGGGGAGCAGTTTTTTTTTTTTTTTTGTAGGATATGGTGACAATCGAGCACACGGCCCACCTGATGGTAAGTGGTTGCTGTGGCCCATAGACATCTACATCTATCCTCGATTACGAATCAAAATGCAGATGTGTTGTCACCCGTGAGGACTACGAGGGACTGCCTCGTTTCCAGTAAAATGGGTCGCCGGTTCTCTACACTCACCATACGAAATACAGCAGCATTAAGCTACTATTTCACGCTGGTATTCTGTGAGGGCGTGGTCCTTCCCCGGTCGAGCCGACCCATTCGTGCTACGTTACGTGCAGTGTTGATTTGGCGAAACAAGCGAAGCTTCGGAGCGGAATTAAGTGAATTAGTGTTTAATTATTAGTGTTTTAACTTTAATTTGTGTAAAGTAAATTAAAGTGTTAATTTAGGTAATTTTATCGGCAATTTTTATTGTCACGAACCTCAAGCTCGTAACAATATTGTGTGTCATTTTTCGCATACTGCTGAAATGATCTACCATGTTTAATTTTATGTTGTGTTGCTCTCCTTGACCAAGTTAATTTGAATGTACATTGAAACGAAGTGAAATTAAAGAAAACTAATAATAAAAAACGATCACTATATTATATAGAGATATTTACATATAGCGTACATAGTGCTGACCCAGGCTCTATATATTTCTGGAACATCTCCTTTGACATCTATTACTTTACCAAGATGGCCGCTATATGCTGTCCAAATTCGAGTGTTACTATTGAGAAACTATTTATTACTAGTACCTATATAAAAACCTATTTTAACTTACCGGCTCTTCATTTACGTAAATCGTAATATTTGCGGCAGGCCTTGAAGGGGACGACGAGCAATTAGCCAAAAGCGTTTCACCTGGCTGATACCGCTCTTTGTTTGCTTGAAGCATCGGGTCCATAGTAGGTAGCGCTGAAAGTCATTAATAGCCATCTAAGTAATGGACAATGACATAGAAAAATGTCCGTGTGTTTGCAGCTTAAGAAAAGCCATCGTTACATTTTGTCACGTAGGCGTCGTAAGACTATAGGAATTTTCAGAAAAATATTTTTGAGGAGGAGGCAAACGAGCATTTGGCCCACCTGGTGGTAAGGTGATGATCACCACCACCCATGAACATCTACAACACCAGAGTAATTGCAGGTGCGTTGTTTGTTTTAGAGATGAATAGGCTGTTTCCTTGAAGGTCATAGGAGGTTTTCAATTGGACTGTATTTTTATGCATATTACGTGATATCTCCGCCGACCACGTATCTTATTTAATTAAATAGATTTTACCTCGAGGGTATTCTTATATAAAATTGAAGATGAAATTTCACCTCTAAAGGTGGAAACAGAGGATGAAGTTTTATTGTAATTTATAGACGACGTTGTTGTTTTCACCTTAAGTTTTTGTTACTCTTTAGCCTACTCGAGATGCTTGAATATTTAACTCAAACAAAAACTAGAAAGAAGAAAATAATTTACACATAAATTGATAAGTTCTGATGATGGTTCTAATACGAAGTATATCGAAGCATTAAAACCATGATTTCAGAATCTATTTAAATTCAACTTTTTTCAAGGCGTTTATTACTTGAACACGAGTTTAATCGTATAGACAATCTGTAATCCAAATAAAGATATTATTGTATAATATCTCGACATTGTAGAAGGATTACGACGGTTGATGCCACGGTTTAACTACCTTCGATGACCAATTGTTATGTCGGTCATTGAAGGTGTTTGGACAGTGCAATCGTGCGTTGCCATGTGGGGTAAGATGTGGGCAGAGCGCTGTTCCCTAAGGTTGTCCCGTCACGCAAGTAAATTAAAATTGTTACAACTAAATTTGCGGTAAAAAATTGAAGGTCATCTTCATTCAAAGAAAAGGAATTAAAGTTTCATCATTTTCTCCGTAAACAGGAAATTTTTTGAATGGGAAATAAAATAAAAATTAATCAGTTTTTTATTTTTCGTTACTTCCCGTTCTGACAACCATAGTAATTTATTGTTTACGTCGGCTTTACCGACTTTATAATATAACGCATGTTCTCTTTAGGTTGTGCTGATACCTAGTCGAATTGTGCTTTTGACGAGTGGTGTAAATATACTTAGTTATATTGCCGTAAATTGGTGGCGTGAGAGAATCCACTATTCCATATCATAGTGTAGGTGTTGTAAAAGGCAAAAGAGTTAAACTACAACAGGAGATGGGCAACGGCATGTTTCTAACAAGAACGAAAAAATCGCCAGGTACAAAAGCCTCCCCTATAAGCAAACTACGTAAGAGGTCTGTGCTTAGTAGTGAACGTAGATATGATGTAATGATGATGATGATGATGAAAACAAAAAATATTCTCATACCTAAAGCAAAAGTATAAGAAAAACCATTTTAAAAGCTTTACACACTTACTGAATTGTTAATATTTTAACTCATACTATTTAGGTTAAGGGTAATCTATCTTAACACAATCTGTATGTAGCGAATAACATTGAAAGTCTTGATGTTTAAAATAAAAGCTGTTCAGGAAGTTTAAGAGAGAACATAAAATATTTCCGAAATGCTGCTTTCTGTTCGTGATTCGATTCAGTGCTAGCGGAAGCTAGACGCAGTAGAATACAAATTGACGTTGTTTTTTGTAAAATTGTGTTGAATTTTGCTAATATTTTACAATTGCATAAATTTTTGACGTATGTATGTTATCTGCCATATTGTGCAAACACTAGTTAAATTAGGGTCTTATATGTTAAAACTTGCTTCCGAATTAATGTATATATGTATTTAATTTTAGTAGGGATGGGAGATATGATAAGGATATAGAACGACGAGTGAACGTAGGAAATAGAGTGAATGGGGCCCTAAACTCTATTTTGAAGAGTCAAAATGTATCAAAAAAGGCACGTATGGCAATTCACAATGCTGTGTTGGTCCCTACTTTAACGTATGGTAGTAAAAGTTGGGTGTGGCAGAAGAAGCACAAGAGTAAAATAAACGCAGTAGAAATGCAGTCGTTAAGGAGTATGTTAGGGCTGAATCTGAATGACAGGGTGAGAAATTGTATGATAAGAGAAGAGTGTGGTTTGCAAGATGATATAGTGACCAATATTAAGAAAGGAATGCTTCGGTGGTTTGTTAATGTGGAAAGAATGAATGAGTAAAGAGTGACAAAGAAAATTTATGTTGCAGAAGTGAATGGCAGAGTAGGAAAGGGATGTCCTAGGCGAAAATTTATCGACCAAATTAACGACTTATTAAAACAGGCCAAATTAGGAGTACCCTGAACCGACGAGCATGTATGCGTAGGTATATGGACGTGAAAGAGGCGAGAAAGGTGTGTCAGGATCGTGCCAAATGGAAATCTGTAGTCTCTGCCTACCCCTCTGGGTGACAGACGTGAGTGTTTATGTATGTAATTTTGAGTTCTGACTGATGATCATTAAAATGATGACATGGCGATGAGAAAAACTACTGTCATTACTCTGCTGACTACCCATTGTCTAAAAATCAACTCAATGTTATCACATTTTAAAGAGTATACTGTCTTTAAAACTGTGATATTACGAGTATGCTTTAATATCTTTTCTAAAGCCCAATCTTATAATGAAGGTTAAAATATACACCGGTTCGCAAAACAAGACTTGTCAAAGAAATTGTCAGGGTTACAACCTACAAGAAATAACCATGTCAAATGTACCTACAATTTAATATTTTTTAAATGTCAATATGAGTAGCAAGTGGACTAGCAATTGCAGATTAACAGTTATTTTTACATATTTTTGTCCTCAATACTTTGATCTATTTTATATTAGTCATTTTAACAGGTTCCTTAACGATATTTTTAAATTTTAAGATACATTATTTTGCTGTATTTACAGAGCGTTTATTGCAAAATTTTATGCATTTTTTCCTGTAGTGTCTTGTAGTGTATCCCTCACGACTAAAATATATACTAGAGATATAGTTAAGAATTAGTGCAGTATAATTAAAGTTTGAGTGCCAACAACACGTCTTTTTTCATTTAACATCTTCAAACATAACTAATATATTAACACGAATATTAAAATAATAAATAACAGTAAGGGAAGGAATATAATCATTAAGAGACTTTTTAAAAGTAATGTTAAGAATAACAGAGTTAAACTTTGACTGACAAAAATATTATCTCATTTTGTACAAAAATTCATCATCAACATCATTACAATCCTTCACAAGTCCACTGCTGAACATAGGCCTCCCCCAAGTATTGCCACAAAGTACGGTCCTGAGCCACCTGCATCCATCGACTTCCTGCATGTCTTACCAGGTCGTCACTCCATCTAGTGGGGGGGGGGTCACCCTACACTACGCCTACCGTTACGAGGGTAGCAGCCTCATCACGGTACACACATGAAGCTCTTTCCCCAACGGTTGTTGATTCTTCGAGCTACATGGCTGACTCATTGCCACTTCAGCTTACTAATCCGTTGGGCTATGTCGGTCACTCTGGTTCTACTGCAGATATCCTCATTTCTAAATTTATCACGTATAGAAACCCCGAGCATAGCCCTCTCCATAGCTCGCTGAGCGACCTTAAACGTCCTCATATGGCCAGCAGTGAAGAACCACGTCTCAGATCCGTAAGCCATCACTGGCAACACGCACTGGTTGTATAACCTAGTTTTCAAGTGTTTAGGTATACCTGACTAATTTTCCGAACGCTTTCCCGTACAAACAATAGCAAGGATGTATTTAAAAGATATGAGGAATGAGAGAAAAAAAATTAAAAAGTGGGAATACGAATGATTGGAAGCTAAGTTTCGTCGATATCGAACCGATCATCCAAATATTTGATGATGCTTGATGCGAGAATTATTCAAGCCAGTATACGGAATTCGAGCATACAAGTATAGTAACCGATGCAGACAATTATATAATAACATTTTAGTAAAGAACACGGTAATGAATAAATATAAAAAAGGAAATAAGATTTATCAAGAGAAGAGATATAAAAGAATAGTTGACCTTAATAATTAAATAATGGAGAGATACGGGAACGTTCATCACACTACATTTCTATATAGTCCTCTTACGGGGTATGTCTCCATGATTCGATGATAAAATCGGAAGTAACAGTTACTATGGAACAATACTTTCAATACAAGATTACTCATATTAATACTGTTTGGGACTAGAGAAGTCTTAAATTTGTTACCCTTTAGAATGATACATAGAGGTCACATCTTTCAATGGTTCATGGTGTGAAAATAGTTTTCCTCCGTGACAATTGTTGGAGTACTATTTAGTGACTTAAACATAGACCTTAAGGTTGTGCGCACAACCCAATGTACACTTTTACCTTCATTTAATACGATAAAAAGTTTATGTACCAATAAAATGAAATGAATATGATGAAAATGTGTATAATAAAAATGCACAAAGAGGTAAATTAAAACTACGATTCGCGATATCTAAATAAATAAATAAATATATAAGTTACTATCATTTCGAAAAGAAACAAAGCTAACTAGAGGTCAAAATATTAAAAAGAAAAAGAAAATTCGTAACTACAAGAAACGAAAGAAATGACAGTAGTGCTATAAATTATGAAAATAATTACCATGCAAGGACTTGAGAACAATTAATGTGATTTAATAAGGGATCCACGATCAAACATAAAAGTGAGATATGTAGTTATTTTGCATTTCTATATTAGTACTTATATTATTAGTACCCAAAACGCTAAAAACAAATTACGAGTACACATGTAATAACTACAGGATCGACTCTCACATAAATACAGGTAAACAAAAAAAAATCAGATATAATAAACACATTTTCGCGTAGTTGTTTTACCACATTTTATATGAATGCACGTGTTTTTTTTTGTCATATTTATATTGATACACATTTGCAATTAATCTGCCTTAAAATTATATTAATGTAAAATTTGTCAAATTATAGACTAAATTAGATTTAATATATTGCTTATTAAAATAAAGTCCAAAGTGTATCGATACACTATTATTATCAATTTCAAAATACAGTTTTGCTTCATAAAACACAACGAAACCAAAAATTATGTTATCTGCTTAAAAATAATTGTCGCTACTAATGTATATAACATATTTTGTTTAATTTTGTAAAAGTGTATTTTTATAAATTACTTTTTTAAGATAAACAATTTTCTTGGAAGTCTGAAAATGTAACAAAAAAGAGTAATAGTTTTTAGAGGTAAAAACTATTAGGAAAGGTAAGTTTAATTTTATTCACGTTATCATTTTAATGTATTGTTAAAACTAGGTACGGTCATAAGATGTAATCGAAAACGTTTCCATTTATGTATGTACCTTGGAATTTAAAACAAAGGTGTCTGAAATTGCTTGCGTTCCTGAGATTGAAACTTCTACTTTGATCTGTCTCTTGCTATGATACTGATGACTACTTATATTTTCGTTTTTATTTCTGTTTTATATTGTTTGGACATATAAATCATAAGCTTTTATTCATTATAATATATTACTTTTTAGAAAAATAGTTTAAATACCTAATTTGTTTGTAGATTATGAAAATAATTTCTTCGTATAAACGATTTTTAAACTCCTATAATATATACAATTAATTAAATAAAACTTTGTTGTGATCATTGTGAACCTCATTCCATGACTGAAAATTGTGTACCTACTCGTACCTAAGTAATTTACGAGACTGCATGATATTTTGTAAAAGATGTAAATTTATGACTAAGATGCCTTTCTCATTGATATCTTTTCTTATATTACATAACAATTTCATACAATACAAACAATAAGAATTATATAAGAGAGTGAAAATATTATAGTAATTTATAATTATCTAGACTAGATAAGTGATCAAAATTACAGAATAGGTGACTTAGTTATTAGTTAACTAAATGGCTGCGATATCTTAGACTTATACATATGTATAAACTGAGTGAGGCCAGTGCTAATCTGATTTACTAGTTATTTGCTTATTGGATAGGAATTGTTAATTGTTTAATTAAAGAATACTCATAGTATATTAGGTATAAAAAAATAAAATTCTATTATTTTAATTATTTTGTCGGTGTGAGGTGTACTAAGTTATATATAACACCTCACACCGCATACGTTTTAATATTTTATACAATTTATATTCGGCACAAAAAATGTCTTGAAAGATTTTGCACATAATTTTATGAGGTATAAGTTACATAATTATTCGTTAAATGAAACTGGTCCCATGTCAATATCACTCTTTGTTTTCGAGATACACGGGGCGAAAATTTAATCCGAACATACATACATACATGGACACGTACATGTGCACACACGTAAATCCTCTTAAAATCATACTATTTGACTTTTAAGACCTTGAAAACGTGGAGATATGTTAAAATTTCCAATTTGCAAAATTGGACCCATTACAATAATTTCCCACTGGGAAGTTAACTAGAGTTAAGTTAAGAAAAAGTGAAGTATAATTAAAGTTTGAGTACCAACAACACGTATTGTTTTTATTTAACATCTTCCAACATAGCATCCCGAAAAGACTGTTTCTTCTTAGTTATAAAATGTATATATTTATATTGATTTTATGACTCAGTTTTCTGTTCAAACTGCTCCTATTTTTTAAAGCCGAGAGATGAGAGTATTAAATTTAAAATTTCCTGTGTGAAACTGTAGTATTACTTAGAGATCTTTTATCCATTTTTATTAAAACAAATATACTTTTGAGGTGATTTGTGTTTTTTTTTTTATAAAAATATATAAATAGGACCATATTTGTCATTTAACAAAGGGCGATTACAATCGCACAAGTATCAGAGACAATTATGCCCAGAGGTGGACCGTGGTAGATAATAACGAAGTAAAAGGAAAGGGAAAAACCAAGAGACAATGCAGGTGGTATCCAGCCCGGAACGGTTCGTTACGGAGTCCCAATTGTCTCAGACGACACACGAGGCTAACCAGTATTAAGTCGTTCGCAGAAACAACTACAAGTATATTTTCGGCCGGCATATGGTTTAGTTTAGTTTACTACGGGCTGTTTTCCGCAACTCCACGTCTAAGCGCGTATTTTGCGTGTGGGTGTGGGTGGAGGAATAATGTGTTTATTCGAGCCATGATATTTCCCCGAACAAGTTCAATAGTCCTTTGATGTTGCAAGCAACTTCGGGGAGCGATCCCGGCGTGCCGAGATGTTAAGCCCTGTATGAAGGGCCGGCATATAACCTTACATGTCAGTCACATTGTGAGTCAAGACCAGATATTTAGTTATAATAATAATAATTATATTTTTCTTTACTAATCGTTAAAAAAATTCAAATTTTTCTTAACAAGCTAGAGCGCCTCCTTAACAATTGCATTAGCTACATTTTCAGTCATCATAAATATGATCATATATCTCTATCTCTATCGCTCTCGTTTTAAATGGCTTACTATTAATCAGAGATGTGACTCCAAAATTTTGCTTATTCTCTTCTCTGTCTCAAATGATCCATCCACTTCTTTTTATCTCAAAGACAATGAAGATATTAGATGGTCTATTTGGTTACCTTTGTTGTCATTTTATTTTTATGTGTGTGTGTGTGTGTGTGTGTGTGTGTGTGTGTGTGTGTGTGTATGTGTGTGTGTGTGTGTGTGTGTGTTTTATAGTTAAATAGTATAAATGTGTAAATCTAATGCGTAAATCTATAATCTAAAATAATAGTATAAATCTGTATTTATGTTGTATTTATGATGTATATAATATTAGTCTATTTTTAATTTTATGAAGGAATCTGTTTAATATCGGTAACTTCCTTCCTTATTTACTGTAATGTTCATTTTATATTTGGCACCTATCACAATATCTTCCATAAGTTCCGGTTTGACTGGGATATAATACTTAAAGGCATTAAGTCCGCCTTTTGTAATCATTTCATTAAGATGTAAAATAACGTGTAAATAAACAAATAGCCCATTAAAGTTCACTGCTGAACATGGCCCTGCTAATTATTGGCAACAATAATTGAAACGTTTGGCGAAAGTAGTATTTAATGTCTTACCCCTTTGACGTTGCTTTCCGTTGCCATTCCAGGTATTTAAAGTGTGACGTGATATGTGATGATAACTATGGAAATTCATGTGGTCCTTCTAGTATTTCCCATAGTCGCCTCCTACAACACCCGTGGGACTGAATGCGGCGCTCACCACAAAGCGGCATTAATTTATTAACAACCTTTAACTTTTGTGTAAAATCGCACAACATATAACTATTGTGTACACAAAAAATGTAAGCGTCGAATAAAATGTAATCCTTAACAAAGAAAAATCAGAGATATAAATCAGTCTGCTGAAATACAGTCGACTATTGAGACGAAAACACTCGTTACTATGGCACTGGCGACGATTTATGGGTCAATACAGAATCAAATTATGACAATAAATCACGACCACGCTAAGATATCGCAGCAAGATCAGGGCGCTATTGCCGAATATATCATGTAATAGTGTTATGCTTCGGTAGGCGCTGTGGCCTTGCTACGTGTTACTACAGAGCTATGAAGACTATTTCTGCTAGCGAATTAATATTGGACCGTTATCTTTTTTTCATTTATAGGTCTTTTTGTGTAATAAAATTTAAATAATGTATATTGCCCATGGATGGACGATGATAGGACTCTTTTCAGACTAAGAGTTCGTCTATACCGACACCTTTATTTTGCTGCGAAGTAACATAGTGTGCACTGATTTGTAATGGTTCGAAGGTCATATAGAGCCAGTATAATACAGTCCATAAGAAATTTCATTCTTTATTAACATTCTTTATTTGAAGTTGGTGGCAAGTGCCTATGGGCTGTAGAAGCAACTTCACACGTCAGGTGGACCGTTAGTTAGTTTTGTCACTTCAATTAAAAGAAAAACATAATGATTGACCGCTACAAATTATTTAACAAATAATTTTGATATGGTTGGAAAATTATTTGTCATTCTACAATAATGCATATAATGCATAATATGAAATTCACTTTTTCGCAATTAAGTGGACTCTTTTCCGTCACTATAAGTAGAACATTTATATTTTGGCAATATTAGTTACTATAATTTATCTATATTTGACGTACATTATAAAAATAGTAATATTTAACACAAACAAGATAAACTTACCTATGACGTCGATAAACTTTGTAGCAATTTGAGTTGCAAAAGATGGTGACTCAGCTGTGACTTCACAGCTAAAGTTTCCAGCGAGTCCAAGATCTAAGCGACGTAGTAGAACTTGTGTGCCGTTAGATCTGTTCATCTGAAATTTATTTAAGTATACAATTTTAATTAATAAAATACTCAGGTAGAGATCATCTCATTTAGAATCACACTCACCTTCCTTGTATTTTTGTATTGTTTTATGTATTTACTTATAACGTATTCAGTATAACAAAATAAAACCTTCCAAAGCTACAAGGTAGGCACGTGCAGATTTAAATAAGACGATCACGTTTGTTTTATAGTATCGTAGTATTAGTAAACGTTATTTATTTGGGATATGAATATGTTGTGATTTTTACGTGTTTCAGAACTTAAAAGCTATAATAATAGTATGCTCTAGACCAAATTTGGATAATGGTGGCCAGTAGCAATGGAAAATAGCCATATGCGCAAGACAGGATTATAATTCCCAGGTATATGAGCAAGCACAGGTGCACTCTCTATTCTCTCACCCTCATAATGCGACGTAACAGTAATGCGACACGACTGAAGAGAGATCATTAACAGCATGTTTATATTGCATTTCCCTTAGCATGCCCTCTTTTTTATATCAACCACGTGACGTATAATCTTACGACACCATTACTTCTTATATATAAAAAATATTGTACGAAATTTAGCGCTCGCTCTAAAATTCACAGTACGCCAGCAACCTGGCTTCGATCCCCATTGGCACCAATGAAATTGTTAATTACAATGTTTAAATCTTATTTACCAAGTTATCGGTTGTGAAGGAAAATATCACGAGGATCGACGAGAGGTAGCATATCTAAGAAATAAAATATTTCGAAGACATGATAAACTCGTACTGGAGTAGCGTGGCGGACTAATTGCTTCATAATTTGCCTCAAGACGTGATAAAAAAGCATGTTATGTTACTTTGATTTACTCTTGAACGCGAAACGCGAAAAGGCGTTTGCTGCTACATATCACCTGTAATTGAATTTCTATTACTTCATAAGTTTATGAAAAATTCGGATGTATTCTGATTCAATATATTCCGAGACAAAAGAAAAGTGTTTTCTTCATATACACCGGCAAGCGAAATCCAGGTAACTTCAAATATGAATTTCGAATTCATCGTCGTCAGGTACTCTTTGTCAATTTTTCTCAGTATCGACACCAGCCGTTACGTCTAAATTACGGTTCGAACTCGCATACCTTTTTCTTTTCAAGAATATTTGATTGTTTTTGTTCATGGAGAATTTTAGCAGTTAAGTCTTGGGATGATGTAACAAAAACATAGGTACGGACAAGCGCACTACCTAACACTGCAGGAGATATAATCCCTATACTTAACTCTTACTACTATATATATATATATATATATATATATATATATATATATATATATATATATATATATATATATATATAAATAATGTGTGTGTGTGTGTGTGTGTATGTGTGTGTGTGTGTGTGTGTTAATATCGTATGTGTATTGTGTTACCTAAGAAAGTTCTTGAATTCACTGCATATCGTATTTAGTACTTAATATCTAAAGTTTGTTATTAGAACCAGGAGTTACTTTTCGGTAATCAATTATATTAATTGGCGTCAAAAATTAGTTTGCAAACACCCGCGTAATAAAATAAAATGATGTTTCTTATCTAGTTTGAAGGGCCTCTCCATCCTGCATCAATTTCATGCACTATCCCCCTCACCAATAATCTTAGCATCACTTCTCCCAACACCACTACATTAAGAAAGATACACCACCATCGCTAATACGACACGTGTTTCACCTCTACACGTGGGATCCTCACATGGAGTAGACTCACGACTCACTCACTCACTCAGTCAGCCACCGTAGAGCTTTTGACATCTTTGATATTTCTAGTATTGGAAGAGAACGCTTAGTGAAAAAAGTCATTTGTATGCGATAGTGTGCAAAAAAAGCAATAAATTATTCGCAAAGATATGTTACAATACTAAACGATCTTTGGTATCAAAGTCCTTCTTAAAAAACAAATCATTCTGTAAAAAAAATACAGATAAAATGTGTCTACAACTCTAAGTGCAAGCACCAACTAGCAGGTGAGTAAGAGCAAAGGGTAGAAGGTACGGTGAATATTCTATGTATCTACCTTTTTAGATATTATTTAAGTCTTATTATCTACTTAAAGATAAAAGTACACGCGTCTGTATCTCATAATATTGTTGTTCAAATTTATCATTTTTAGGTTTGCTACCAAATATAAAATCATATATATCATCAAGAAGAAATTTAGCCCTAAGAGTCGCGTGCAGCACAAGGAATCGACGCGACCAGCATAAATCAAACGCCGGAGTCCAGGATCCAAAGACATTGTTGAGATCTTTTTCAATCAGGTCAGTCCTCCTTTTTATGCTTCCACTTTTCTTTATCAGACGCTTTTTTGTTATATAAATAATAATAAAAAATGCTTATTAATTTTAAATTGGTTACAAATAATTTATCGAATGTTACTAAATAAGAATGAACCCTACTTCATTTGATGAAGGTAAATGCATTTTTCTAACTTATCTACCGATTTCTAACTATCGATTTGCCTTTGAATATATTTAAGGCACATGTAAAAGCATTCTTAAGTGAAGATGAAATTATCAAATAGATGATTATATAAAAGATAAAAATGTGTAAACAACATATTGAAAACTGAAGTGTCAAACGAATTGCCACCTGAAGGCGGGCTTCTACAAACCATAGTCATCTAGTACCTAATTAAGAGAAAGAAAGCTACAGATGCGTTGTCACCTCTGAAGACTAAGGTGGAATGAAAGCTCAATGTATGTAATTATACCGAGTTTGTTAACCCTTCGAACCGGAACACTGTAGTGCAAAAACTGCTATTTGACGGCAGAAATAGGTACTCGTAGAAGGCTGGTACCTCCAGTAGTACCATCCATACGAACTACACGGCAGAAAATACGTCCTATCCCATAATAAAATACGCATGTATCTTAATCACTCACTATGAATTGATAAAAAATGGCGTCCCCTAGATGTTGACGGCATTATTTTTTAAAGTTATATTTCAGTATATTAACTTGCTCTTTGATTTTTTATTATGTTTAGCCTTTCGCAATTTTATATATTTTTACTTAATCCTTAGAAGCTTAAAGTATAAACCAATCAAGAGACAATACATACATCAACGTAAATTCCCGGCAACCCGAAGATTCTGAGGTCAGGTTCTTCCATTGGTGTGTACCGGAAAAACTCGTGGTTTCCCCGATACCATTTCACTGAATACAAAGGTGCACCTTGCATGTCTCTCGAACATATAAGTGCAGCTGTTCTGCCCCTGATAACAGTTTCTGGTTCTACTAGCAATTTCACATCACGAAGACTTGTTACACCTGTAATTATAATGTTTAGATAAGTTAATACCTGTACATCTTAAATTAGTCTTCCTCTAATTTTTTAGAGAGTAATGGTTAGGAAACAGCTACACTGCTTAGTTCCGGTGCGATTCGGTGGACTTCCCATTTGTGTGTCTTCGGTTGCCAGCCTCATTGACAAATGCGACCGCTGATTTTGAAGTGCCGTATTCCGGTCCCGGATCGGGCCAACAAAACTCAGTTATTGAATTTTCTATCAAGAAATTCTCAGTAGCAGTCTGGAGTCAGGAAATTGGCGGTGTTTTACCCCCGTGCTTCGGAAAGCATTTAAAGCCGTTGGTCCTGCACCTCATCACTCTTTTATCGTCCCATCGGACTATAAGACTGAGAGAATATAGAGTGCACCCGTGCTTGCGCATACATTTGGGCACTAAGGTCCTGTCCTGCGCAGACGGCTAGTCTCCGTTGAGACTTGTCACCGTAAACAAAACGCGGTCGGAATAACATTATTGTGTCTTCAAAAATTTACTGTGACATGTTAGTTTCCTCACGATGTATTGCCTTACATCTAAAAGCAATTAAAAATATTAAATTGACAATTTATTGGTGGCTGCGGAGATCGAAATGGGTTTGCTCGCGTACTGTTTACAGCGAGAACTCGGGCTACCCGTACGACGCACACCCGTAATTGTGTGAAATAATTTTCAGTATTTTTTTATTCAATTTAATAAATTATTTTATTTTTTTATTTAAATAAAACGTTACCCCTGCACTAGGATTTTCTCCTGTATCGTGGGGGCAGTTTACAAACATAAATTGCACTAAGACAAAAATCCAGGACCCGGAACAACTATTTGTAGACCATACAAATACTTGTTTCGTGCGGGATTCGAACCCGCGACCCTTAGCGCAGCCTCTCATTGCTAAGCCACTGCGCCGGGGAGTCGTCAAAGATAAACACTACGTAGTGTAATTGAATCTTATTAACCTACACACTACATTACATCAAGAAACTAAATATTTTTTTCTTACAGATTTTTCTGAAAAATTATGACTGGATTCATTAGTGTAAGATTTTCTAAGAATGTTTCGATTATGAAATATATTTTATTGACTTTGACAAATTTCTCAGCTTTTAATTAAATGGTTTAATTTTTTAATTTTCAATTTCCGAAACAAAAACTGAAATGTTAATGATTATTAGATATATTAAACATACGTACATCTTTAAGTTAATTTTTATGGTACGACATGAACGTTGAAAACCCTCTTTGACTCTCGTCTTTCAAAATATAAGTGACCTAATTTGTCCCAGCGATCCTCATATGCTTGGGACAAGAGAAGTGCCCTGAAAAATATTACTGTACAGCCAATGAATAAAATAAGATTTTCAAATTCAATCGAGGTAGACGAATGGAGAGAGTAATTTATATTCAAACGAAAAAATCTATTTCTTCAAAGAGCTACATTCCTTTAAAGGTGCTGTGTGTTTTACACGATACTTCCGAACGCTCAGGGAATTTTCGAAGGAAATATTAAGCACTCATTTAGGCAACTAAAAATGGGATGGATCCAGATTTAAAACGTAATACATAATTCAAACATATATATATATATATATATATATATATATATATATATATATATATATATATATAAGGCTGAAGACTGAGTGTGGCAGCATCGTTTTCGGGACACCTGAGATTTTGAGTGAGATTGAGAGGTTCTATGGGCAGCTGTACACATCATCGTTGGAGCCACACGCAAGTGTGAGTAACGATCCAAGAGCAAGTCTTATCCGACACTATTCCGATGATAACCCGGACGTCAGTCTAAGCGAGATTAGAATTGCTCTCCAGCACCTTAAAAACGGTAGGGCCCCAGGCGAGGATGGAATTACAGCGGAGCTTCTGAAAGCGGGTGGAACACCGGTACTTGAAGTCCTTCAGAAGCTCTTCAATTCCGTTCTCCATGGTGGCACTACTCCAGAGGCGTGGAGCAGAAGTGCGGTGGTCTTGTTCTTTAAGAAAGGCGACAACGCTCTCTTGAAGAACTACAGACCGATTTGCCTTCTGAGCCGCGTCTACGTGCTGTTTTCGAGAGTCATTACGAATCGTCTCGCACGCAGACTCGACGACTTCCAGCCTCCCGAACAAGCCGGTTTCCGCAAAGGCTTCAGTACCATAGACCACATACATACCCTGCGGCAGATTGTACAGAAGACTGAAGAGTACAATTTGCCACTTTGCCTGGCGTATGTGGACTATGAGAAAGCCTTTGATTCCGTCGAAATTTGGGCGGTGCTGCAGTCCCTTCAGCGGTGCCAAGTTGACTGTCGGTATATCGAAGTGCTGAAGTGTTTGTACAGTAGGGCTACGATGGCTATCCGAGTACAGAACCAGAGCTCGAAACCTATCCAACTGCAGAGAGGTGTAAGACAGGGTGACGTTATATCCCCGAAACTCTTCACCGCTTCTTTGGAAGACGTTTTCAAGCTGCTGGACTGGAAAGGATACGGTATTAACATCAATGGCGAGTACATCACTCACCTTCGATTTGCCGACGATATAGTCCTTATGGCAGAATCGCTGGAGGACCTTAGCACTATGCTCAATGACCTCAATGGTGTCTCCCAACGGATAGGTCTTAAGATGAACATGGACAAAACAAAGATCATGTTTAATGTCCATGTCACACCTATGCCGGTAGTATTTGGGAGCACTATGCTCGAAGTTGTTGACGAGTACGTTTACCTGGGACAAATAGTCCGACTAGGTAAGTCCAACTTCGACCGAGAGGTCAATCGACGGATTCAACTCGGCTGGGCAGCGTTCGGGAAATTACGACACATCTTCTCGTCAGGTATACCTCAATCTCTGAAAACTAAAGTGTACAACCAGTGCGTGTTGCCAGTGATGACTTACGGATCAGAGACGTGGTCCTTCACTGCTGGCCGTATGAGGACGCTCAAGGTCGCTCAGCGAGCTATGGAGAGGGCTATGCTCGGAGTTTCTCTGCGTGATAGACTCAGAAATGAGGATATCCGCAGTAAAAACCAGAGTGACCGACATAGCCCAACGGATTAGTAAGCTGAAGTGGCAATGGGCCGGCCATATAGCTCGGAGAACCGATAACCGATAGGGAAGAAAGGTTCTTGAGTGGCAGCCTCGTACCGATAGGCGTAGTGTAGGGCGACCCCCCACTAGATGGAGTGACGACCTGGTAAGATATGCAGGAAGTCGATGGATGCAGGTGGCTCAGCACCGTGCTTTGTGGCATTACTTGGGGGAGGCCTATGTTCAGCAGTGGACTTGTGAAGGGCTGTGATGATGATGATGATATATATAACATGTGTCTAAATTTCAATTTAAAATAAATTTAGTTTTGCGTTTTTGGTAATTTACAAGTTATTCGCCATCTAATTACAGTAGTTCACACGGTTTTCATACCCCATCTGATAGTTGTTTTTTGTTATTAGTTTAGGTAGAATTATCCAGAAAAAGTAATAAAAGAAATCTGTCACGTCTGGTTTAAGAAATAAATATTTCTTAGACCAGACATGACAGATTTTTTTAGACTAACTAACTGAAATACATAATTTTGGTATTTATACTACAAAAAATTCAAAATGACAAACTTTTGCCTTCTTTTTATAGCTATTTGATTTAGTTTCTCTTATAATTGATCAACAGTAATTCCCCTACATGTTTTAATCCCAAAATCCTTGATGTCGTTCTTCAAAAACCTTTAAATCTTAATGAAAACGTGTCCCTTGTTCGTCACTCATCCTCAACTTCCCAAGTTTTCAGGGAAAAAACTCAGATGCAAGTACAGCAAATGAATCTTTAATAACATTTTTACTCCCATCTTTTTAAAAATTTCCAATAAATCGGTAGTAATTGCTTTGTAATTTTCACTTTTTTTATTTACCAAAAAATTTTCTACAACCATTTTGTATGATTTCAAGCAGATTATTCATTAACGGATAAAAGATTTCCCAACTGAGAATATGTCATAATTTTACGGATTTATGGGCCAACAAATATACCCTCTTTCAGTTATCCCTCTGTAATTTTTGGAAAGATTTTTTGTAAATACCGGAAAGCATCATTGTTTCTGTCAAGCGCCTTCACAAAAATTTTCATGAGCGCCAATTACATGTGTAAAGGGGGAAGAGTGATGTTATCGGGATCTACCAACAGCTCGTGTTTATTGTTCATTTTTCCCGGAATATACTCATTACGAATAGGCCATTCTTTTCTTTCATACTGATGTAGTTTAGCTCTACTATCCCACAAACAAAGGAAACAACAATATTTTGTGTAACCACCCTGCAATCCCAATAACATACTATTGCATTGGTGAACCAAATGGAAGGTGAACGTTTTTTCCTGATGACCACTGGAATAAGGCGATTCTACAGCTTTCGCAAAACACATGATGCACCCACTTTTTATCTTGATTTGCAATAGGAAATCCAAAATAATGAAGTTATGCACCTTTTAACGAATCTACAATGGTTCTTCTCTTTTTTGAAAATATAAACTGTCCACAAACATAACAAAACGATCAGAACTTTGTTTACACTTTCTTCTCGATCGATTTCATTTCAAATCAATCCGAAACATGATTTGAAGCGAACGAATAAACAATAAACTGTCGTCACCACGTTAGGTAATTAAAAAAAAAACATTTGACTGCAGGAAGAAATTGTGACGTGAAAAAATATTTCTGCTAACACTTTTAGGTTTAAGGAAGGTAGATTAACATATTTATATACATTTATTTTAGGGTGTATAAAAAACTTTAATTTTGTAAACTAGTGTTATTTAAGTAGTCAATTAATATTAATATTTTGATATATTATCTAATTACATATAAAAACGAGATTGCTCGGTCTCTGCAGCAAAGAATAAAATCATGAGGAAA